CTTTTTTTTTTTTTTTTTTTTTTTCTTTTTTTTTGGTACCAGGGATCAAACTCGGGTCCTTGCGCTTGCAAGGCAGGTGGTGGAACCACTGAGCTAAATCCCCAGCCCTTCCAAAATTATTTTGTGCCTCTTTCCATTTATACTCTCTCCCTGTACTGCCCCAACAGAGAGAAACACTCTCTTACTTCTTATACCAAAGATTATTTTGACTGTTGTAGAACTGCACATACATGAAATCATATTATATAATATTATATCTGGCTTCACCGTCCCAATATAAGGTTTTTGAAATTCATTAATATTGCTGTATGTATGTATAATGTTCATCATTTTTATGGCTGAATAATTAGATTACATTCATTATTCATTCTCCTCTCCCTGACCATTTAGATTATTTCCAGATCAGTGCTACTTTAATTAAGGCTACTATGAATGTTTCTGTACAGGTATTTTTGTGGATATAGGCTTCCATTCCTCTTCAGTAAATACCTAAAACTGGAAATTCCACTTCTCAAGGTAAATGCATATTTAATTTTACTAATACAAAATATTACTGCCCAATAATCCATCTTCTATTCCCATTTGGCAGTATGACATTTCTGGTCACTCTGCATTTTCATCATCATTTGCTCCTCTAGGGGTTTTAATTTACATGTCCCTGGTGGTTGATGATGTTAAGCACAATTTTGTTCACATACTGTCCATTCATATATCTTCTTTGGTGAAGTCTGCATAAGCTCTTTGCTCATTTAAGAAATCAGGTTATCTTTTATTGTTAATATCTATTCAGGGTGTGTGTGTGTGTGTGTGTGTGTGTGCGCATGTGTGTGTTGCTAGAGATTAAACCCAGGGTTTTATAAAAACTAGATTAGCAAGGTGCCACTGAACCACACTCCCAGCCTAATGTCCATATTTGGATATGTAAGACCTTTTTCTTAGTCTATGAGCTTGTATATTCATTATCTTTAATTTGTAGAAATTATGTTGAATATATTGATTTCCTTAGACTGCCATGATGAATACCACTGACTGGGTGACTTAAACAACAGAAATGTATTTTCTTACAGTTCTGGAGGCTGGAAGTCTGACGTCAATGGTGAGCAGATTTAGTTTCTCCTGAGCCTTCTCTCTGTGTCCTCAGATGGCCTTTTGTTGTGTGGTTTGCACTAGTATTTCTTACCATGTTCTAATTTCCCGCTCTTATAAGGACATCAGTCAGATTGGAGTAGAACATAACTTTAAGGTCTTATTTTTATTTAATCACCCTTTTAAAGGTCCTCTCTCCAAACAGTCACATTCTGAGTACTGAGAGACACAATTCAGGTCACAACAATAAAGTATAACAAGTTTTTTCCTTGTATGGCTAATGCCCTGTCTGCCCCAAAGCCATAAAACTATCTCCTCTGTTTCCATCAGGAAGTTTTATTAATCTAGCTTTTATCATTAGGTCCATGATACATATTCAAATTATTTTTCATATATGAAATGAGGTAGAATTTTTCCACTCCTTAAGATATTCTGTTATAGCAGAAGCATTTCCTCAAAAAAAATTGCTTTCTCCGCTGAACTGATCTGGTACTTTGGTCATAAATCAATTGACTTTTAATGTGTAGTCTACTTCTAGGTAGCCTCTACTATGTCAATGATCTGTTTGTTCATCCTTCTGTCAATTCCCTTCGACACTCACGACTACAGCTTTAGAATAAGTTTTGGAATTATGAGGCACACATTTTCCAATTTTGTTACTGTTCTAGACTGGGTTATTCGGGATTCTTGGCAACTTACATCAGGTCCTTTAACTGAAACATTTATCTCTTATCTGATCTTCTTATCTCTACTCTCCCATTACTTCCCACCCAAAACTTTTATTTATACTTTTAGGTTTTCATTCAACACATAAATACTATGTGCTTCCAACACATTGAGTACTGTGGATGCTTTGTTCTTGTGGAGACCTAAAGCTAGCTTTCTATAAGAGTAGTATGGACACTACAGCCAGGATCTGCACTGTTTCTCAGCTTCCAAATTGCTGTGGTGAGAGCAAATACAATATTTTTCCAGTATACCCTGCAAAAGGTTATAACTTGGGAAAATCATATTGCATTTGACAATTGGTTTTATTTATTTCTGGTTGGCTTTTAAGTTTATTTTCAACTTTTGGCTGGCAAGAACCGGGGATGAAACTGAATGCAAAAAGGCAGAGAGACATCGTTCCAAGTCATGGCGGGGGAGGGGCTAGAGTCTGCTGAGCCAGCAAAAGAGAATATTTACTTTTCATCTTTAGATTCTCCAACTTTTATCATGTGACTAAACTTTCCTGCTTGGAAGAATAGCTTCCTAGGAGGAAGGCAAGCAGATGTCTCACTGATAGTCACATGGAAGAAAGAAAGCTGTTCTGAATACCTGACCATGGCACCTGGGTTGTGCACTACAGGCAGGTTGACACCTCAGTCTGAGCTCTGAACTGTCAGACAGCATTTTGGATCTCCCAAATGAGAAAATTTGACTATTCAGTAAACCCAAACCACCTGTTGAAATTTTTAAACAAAAAAAGAAGGAATTACAAATGAGCTGGGTTTCAGGTTGGAGTACACCTGACAATGTTAACAGGGAGAGGTACTCAGCACTATCCTAAATTGTGGACAAAGGAAATTTTCAGTGAATTATGAGAAAAATCCAGCCACCACAGCCTCTTCTGAAATTTAAGAGAAGCGAGACTGTAATATCTTTCTTATTATCTCTATTTCTTAGGAACATAGGCAAGAGAAGAAGAAAGTTTGAAGAAATTGCCCATTTAATTACACAACACACCCAGTAACCACCTAAGCAAACTGGAATTCTGCTTTTACCATGTAAGATGTTTGGTATTATGTCAACTACTCATTTGCTCTCTACCTGGATGGGTTCTCCAGTAATAGGATTCATCACTTCTTTTGTAGAAATTCTCATCCCCAAAGCAAAATTAGCCACTCTTTGAGCATGGCTTCCAATGGGTACTGGAACACCACCTACCACCATATAGGCATCACCTATTGTTTCCACCTGCCAGGAAAAAAAATGGTGTTCAGAGAGCTTTCTTTGTGCAATAAACCCATTACTAAATATGTTTGCCATTTTGCATATATTGACAAACGGGCCTTATTAAAGAAGCTGGGGGTACTTTTCTAGAGGTATGAGGAATATGAGTAAGAAGTGGAAAGGAACATGACTCCAGAAACCCCAATGACAGAGCCAACAGGTCTTTCTCTATTTACTTAGTTAATTAGTTAGCTAGTTAGTTAGTTAATGATGCCAACGATCAAGCCTTACTTGTCTTAGACACTTTCAATTTCCTTTTAGCTCTCTTCTTCACCCCACTCCCATCAACACCAAACCCCAGGCTGGTGCAAATAGTCCAAGAAAGACTCAGAATCAAGTCGTGCCTGAGTCCTGGAATACAGCACACTACACAGATACTTACTTTGTAAACCTCATGGACATTAGTCAATTTGTCAAACTTAGAGTACATTGAATTCAGCATATTCACTATTTGGATAGGTTCACAGGCAGCACAGATGTTAGTAAATGTCACCACATCACTGAAAAGGATAGTGCAGGTTTCAAACTCTCCTGCAATAGAAACTAGATGTCAGTGATAGCCAAAGATATAGATAATAATTCTATGAATTCTGGATTCAAGTATTCTCTGACATGTATGATTCAAGTATGCTCCAACATGCCTATGCCTTGGGGGAAAAGGAGCTGAATGCCATTCACCTGTCACTTAATAGACATCTATGGAGTATCTCCCGTGAATGTATCTATTGAGTTCATGCTATGAGCTAGTCATCATGGGAGGAGAATCTTGGCATGTGAGACAAGAAGACAGGGCCCTGGAGAGGTTCACAGTCTACTGAAGGAGGCATAAGTATGAACAAACATTTCTACTAAGACGTGAAAAATGCCATGGGATGACAGGTATGGGTCCTTAAAAGTGGACCCAAGCACAGCCTGAACTGCAGAAGATCCAGTGCTGTGGCTAGAAGAGACTGGTTATTATGAAATCATGAGTTTCCTTGTCATTGTGTGATGGGACAACTGCAATGTCCTCCTAACTCATGTTCCCGCTTCCACTTGGTCCCCATTCATACTAAGATCCACATGGCGGTTGGGTGTCCTTTTAAGTCTGATCCCCACTCTTCTACCTCAAATCTTCCATGACTTTCATCACACTTAGAATGTAGCCCCAAGTCCTTACCATGCCCTACAAAAAAGACTTCTGCTCTGTTCTTGTTACCTCTCTGACTTTGTGTCTCAACACTGTTCTCTGGCTCACTCCACTCTGGCCACACAGGCCTCTTTGGAATTTCTCTAGCATACTAAGTGTCTCCTTCCTTCAGGGCTTTTCACATGCCCTATCTCTGCTTGACAAATTCTTCTCAAATATACATAGTGTTCATATTTCAAATGTAGCTTACTCACTGAGAACTTTCTTGATCACTACATCTTAAATAGCAGCCCCTAGATTTTTTTAAAGCTTCCAAAGATAACAAACAAGCTGCTCTGGCACACATGCCATAGGTCTTCCACCACTGCCCCAGACTCTATCCTCTTAATCTGATCACTCATTCTCTACTCCAGAAGACTTATGTGGCATACTTTTTAAATAAAATTATTTTGCTATTTTCTACCTTCTCCATTGGGATTCTAAACTTCATGAGATGAGAGATGGTTTTGATCTCTGTTGTAGCCCTAGCCCAATGGCGGACATTTTAGAGCTTTTTAATGATACAAACAGCCCACTGAAGCATGTGTGTCATACGTTCACCACCACCTCTGACGTACCCATGCAGGGAAGGAATGCCTTACCTGCTGCCACCTTTTTGCCCTCCTTCAGCTGGTTGGCCACATGTTCAGGCAGCATGGCATACAGCAAGGTCTCTGACTTCTTCTTTTCAATAGCCAAGTGCTTGGAGAGAACTCGAAGCTCCTCCTTCTTCCTCTCCAGCTGGTTGGACAGCTCCATTTCTGCCAGCCTCTGCTGGTTGAGGAGGATGAGATCCCTGGTGGTGTCATGGGGGGCAATGTCTGAGAGATGCATCTTGCACTCCTCCAGCTCCTGCAGGCTACGGAGCTTTGGTGAGCACATGAAAATCATGCACCTCAGGGACTCCATCCAGACCATCTGGCCTTCCCATAATGAAGAGAAAAGAGACAATATAGTATATCACTAAGACAGGATGAGATGAACTAGCAAGAGAAGCAAGCATCCCCCACATGGTACACCTTCTAGTCCTGGCACAGTTGCACTCTCTCCCTTTTAGCGAAGGGTCGTGGGATTATCTGTATGTTCTGCTTACTCTTACTCACTTACTTACTCACCTCCCCCTCTTACACTTACTCACCTTCCCCTCTCTGCACAGCAGATCTCTCTGTAGCTGCTTTCTGACTTCAAGAGGCTCCTAGTCAAGTCCTCCAAAGTACTGATGTCAATACAAATATTACCTTTACTCAGCTTTTCTGCTGTTGATGGGATTAACCTGATCCTCCTTGAAATCTTCCTTCCTGAGGCTGTCTGATATTTTCTTTCTGAAAATCCCCCTACTTTGAATTTTTTCTTTATAGTTTCTTTTTTAAATCTCATCACTTATATTTCAGAATTACAGCATTGTCTTGGTATTCTCTTCAGCATTACATAACTGTGCCCTATACTATGCTGATGGTGAACTTGAATTCCCCTTGCTTCCTGGGCTAGAGATGTTTCCTTTAAAAATTTCTTCCTTTAAGGGCCTGGGATTTAGCTCAGTGGTCCCGCGCCTGCCTCGCAAGTTCAAGGTCCTGATTTTGATCCACAGTACTCTTTAAAAAAGTCTTTGTTTAAACATAGACATGTTTATTAACATTTCTTTTCTTTAAAAATAGATATGTTTAGGGCCAAGGATTTAGCTCAGTGGTGCTGCTGCCTGCCACTTGCCCTGCAAGAGCAAAGGTCCTGAGTTTAATCCCTGGTATCAAAAAAAATTTTAATAGATATATTTGTTAACTTATTATAAAGGAAATATACATTCATTACAGAAAAGATAAAAGTGAAAGAGAATAATGAAAATCACTCAGAATCATATCACAGATAATTATAGTTAATATTTTGGAATAAATATTTATATTTCCAAAAATGGGACTATCTGGCATCTTTTCATAATCTAAATTTTTCACATAAACATATAGAACATTCTTCCATACTATTCAACACAAGTATGAATCTTAACTTCTGCTAGCTATATTTTCTATAAATAAGTTGGTATTGATTACATTATATCTAGTTTATCATTCTAGAAATGACATTGTAATGAACAAATGAGGTAATTCTTTAAGCATAACCAAGACTATATTGTTAAATAACACATTCTTAGACATGGAATTACTTAGGCAAAAATGCTCATTTTTAGTTTTTGATACATATTGCCTAATTGCTGTCTAGAATGACTGGATTGTAAGAATGTATACTTCTATCAGCAGAGTTGCTTTTTATTTGTTTGCTTGGTCTTTTAATTCCCTATTATACATTTACTTATGAATGTCTGCAGTTGAACTCACCCTTCATCTCCTCTTCCGTTTCCTCATTATTTCATCACATAAGAGTTTACTCCCTACTGTGAGTCAGCCATGCTATTCTGAGCATTGAAGGATATAGCAATGACTCAAACTGACAAAACTTTTAAGTCATATCTCAAGATCTCTAAATTTATCTTTCTCAGTTAATCCCATGTTCATCTCCCAGGGAAGGGTACTCAGAGTTATCTGAACTGTTCACTTTCAGATCCCACATCCAATCACTATTCTCTGGCTTACTCTGACTCTGTTCCCCCATTGCCACCCCAGTACCACTACCTGAGTTCATTCCTATCTTAATCTTCTCACCTACATCCCAGTGATGGCCTCCACCTGGCCTCCCAAGCTCCATTTCCTCTATAATCTTCATCTCTCACACACCTCCAAAGTACTCATTCTGGACTTCAAATCTGATCAAGGAAGACCTTTAAAAATGTTTCCAACTGCATGATAGAGTTCCAGCCCTCATATCCCCAGCATCATCTCCCATCACCTCACTACAATAACTCGGGGAAGAGAAGGTTTTCCTCCTGTTTGTTTTCCCAGCTCTGCTTGTACATATGTCTAGCACACTTAATCATCAGTCTAATAGAAAGCTCAAAATTTGAACACCTTCACTCATATACAAAAATTGGCTCAAAGATTTAAATGTAAGAGCCAAATTTACAAGACAATTGAGAAACTGTAAGAAAAATATAAAGAAAAATGACATTGTATGTGGCAATAACTTCTTGGCTGTGGTACCAAAAGCACAAGTAGAAACAGGAAAATTATATAAACAGACTACTTCAAAATAAGAAACTTATGTTCATCAAAGGTTACCACAGACAGTGAAAAGGCAACCCATGGAATAGGAGAAAATATTTGCAAATCATGTCTGATAAGGGGTTAATATCCAAAGTATATGAAGAACTCCTACAACTCAAACACACACACACACACACACACACACACACACACACACATGGTAGAACATAGACAAAAGACATAGAAATGGCCAAGCCAATGAAATGATGCTCAAAGTCACTAATCAGTAGGGCAATGCAAGTAAAAGCCATGTCACACCCATTATGATGGGAATTAATTAAAAAAACAAAACACAGGGCCTGGGATTTAGCTCAGTGGTTCAGTGGCCTGCCTTGCAAGCGCAAGGACCCAAGTTCAATCACCAGTACCAAAAAAAAAAAAAAAAGAAAGTGTTTGCAAGGATGTGGAGACATTGAAAACCCTGTGCATTGTGGATTGGAGTGGCAAATGGTTTGGTAGCTATGAAAAACAGTGTGATAGTTTCTCAATAAATTAAAAATAGAATCACCATATGGCTAAGCAATTCCACTTCTGGATATACTCAAAATAGCTAAAAGCAAAGACTCTAAGAGACACTTGCACACACAATAGTATTGTTCACATTGGACAAATGGTAGAATTATCCCAAGTATCCATCAAGAAATGGATGAATAAATAAAATATATATACATACAAGGGAATATTATGCAGCTTTAAAAGGGAAAGACATTCTGATGAATAATAAAACATGAATGAACCTCTAGGAGATTCCCCAAAGAGAAATGAATCAGTTACAAAGGAAAAATACTGTAAGATTCCATATATAAGAAGTATCTAGAGTAGCCAAAATCATAGAGACAGAAAATAGAATGACAGTTGCCAGAAAATGGAGAAAAGAGGAATGAGACATTATTGTCCAATAGGTGTAGAATTTCAGTTTTATAAAAGATGGAAAAAATTTCTAGAGATGGGGTGGTGGCAATGGCTGTGCAAGCTGGGAACATACTTAATGTGTGTGTGTAGTCCATTTATGTCTAAACCAGACGTGGTTTAAGAAATAAAATGTACTGCTTACAGATCGGGCCAAGTGGAAATGTCAGAAAAACCTCCTGCTCACTGTAGTTCCTGCCCCAGTGTTTAGAAAATTGGAAAACTGTGCCTCTCCCTCTTTTGATCAATCTCCCAAACAGGCAAGGAGCAAAGGGAAGGAGTGAGTTATTACCTCGGAGTTTGAGTGTGGGCTGATTTTTCCATGCTTCAGGCATCATTTCTTTTCGTGTCTTCAGGACAAATTGACTGTTGATAAATTTGCAGATGCTGGAAATGTTGAAGGTAACTTGAGGATGAACAATGGAGAAATACTCATCTAATTGAGTCTTCTGGGTCTGGAGTCCTGGGACATACTTCTGAATATTCACTCCAGCTTGCTTGACCCTTAGCTATCCACAGAGCACAGATGTCAGGCTGAGGAAGAGTAAGCCACCTCCACCATAAACTTTCCCCCAGAATTAACATTTTTGGCTATGCTTTGTGACTCACTGGGGAGAAAGGGTGTCAGTAATGTCATGTAAGTAACAACTTTTAAAAACAATTATATCTGCAGCTAATGTTAAAAGGGGAAAACAATAGTATAAACATACTCTGGAGCATATTTCTGACTAGTAAGAAAGATGAGTTAAATCGTTCAACTGAGCCAATAGTTCTTTCTTAGCTCTCTAACACGTTTCTATGTCTCTGTTTCTCAACCTCTCTTTCTCCCTCTTTGCCTCCCTCTCTCCCTCCCCGCCACCTCTCACTAATAAATAAACTTGCAAATTCTCTGGCACTGAATCTGGTATCCAGACCTAGATACAACAGTCCTTCAAAGGGGTGAGGGGACTCTTCACTCCTGTCTCCACATAAAAAATAGAAGGAAGAAGAAAATGGGAACCCTTGACACACAATATCAGGTGCCAGCATAACACCAAGCAACACTAAACTGTACTAACCACGGGACTCTGTTGGGCTATAGATATGGATGGATTTTATCTTTTGGCATATGTATAAATATCATTAAATTTTCTGTTAATCTATGCCCAAAACTTGAAGAAAGTTTTTAAGTAAACCATAACTTAAAATATTAACAGTGGAAAAAATACTATCTTTATGGCAATGGGAAAAAGTTGAAGTTTCCTTATATCGTATATACTAGTTAAACCGTATAGGGGTGTTCATTTACCTTAGTGAGATCATAATTTCTTTCTGGGTAGAGACTCACAGAACCTGCATAAGCAGTCATTTGGTAGGTGATGATTTAATACTTTTATGGATTCAAATAAATATCACAGAAAAATATAAAGGTGTATTTTAACAGCTCTTTAACTCTTTTTTAACAAGTTAGTTTTATTTACTTGTTCTTTAAATGAATGCATAAACAATCCAGTTGACATATATTTTATCCCAGGAAATCAATAACCTTCAAATTTAGTCCTCTCACAGCCCACACAGAACATGGCAGGAGGTCAACACAGACCTCTCCCCCATAAGATACAGGATGGGAAGCATGGTGTGATCCAGACATTCTTCCTGGTGATCACAAGGGTAGTGGGAGGTCATGCTTAACATTCTATCCAACCACTGAAAGGACCACATCCTAATGTCTCTATATGTTGCAAATCTCAACCTCATTTTCATTTCCCTTTTTCTAGTGGTAAACTTACCAATAGATTCACTAATTCAAACTTCCTTCCCTATCTACCAAAAAAGATTCTGTATTCTGGTTTCTAGAAGATTTTACAATATGAAATGAAGTCAGTAGTCCTGTTGGGCTAAAACCTAGTTCCCCAAGGCCTGGAAACTTTTCCAGGATGTAAAGGACTATAAAAGCATGCCCCTTTCCTGGCTTATCTCCAACTCCAAGTTCCAGAGGGAAAGGGTCTCTTACTGCTTCGTCAAAGACAATGTGGAAAGGAAAAGCAGTACAGAATGTCTTCACTTCCATCCAGAGTCTCTCAGGATACACGGGCTTGAAGGCATCACAGAGGTGCCCTGAACACAGAAAGAGAGAGCCCTAATGAGAGGCAGCCCCTACGTGGCCCTTGCACAGAGCCAGGGTTGGGACAGGGATAGAATCTTAAGTGTTTCACAGGCAAAGTGTGATTCCCCCGCTCTTTAGCCCAGGCTCCCTCAGCATCTCCAGATGGCCATGGCAATTCTTCTTCCAAATTAAAACAAACAGAAAACTTGCTACCAGGTTGAGAAGCCCTCCTGCCCCCTGCCAAGTTTCTGCCTGCCGCTGAAGAGTTTCTGGGCCAATTGAGTACGTCTCTCCCTGAAAACAGAGTCGGCATTGAAATAGTGACAGCCAGACAATGAGCTAGGGGAGCAGAGCATGTGCACTGGGCCCAGCATCAGGAATATTTGCCATGGAGCTTTTTAGACTGACAGTTTTGGGTGGCACATGAAAATTTAACCAACAGTCTTATTTGGCAGGGGGTAGAGATTTGAAATGGAGCCTTTTTGATATGAAAATCTCCTAGACAAAGGATGTCAATTGCGTGTTTGACTCGTTTGCCACAGCTTGAAGGACTCAAAATGCAGCTCTTTAAGCTCTGCAGACCTTCTCCCAGACGCATGTCATCTGACCCACCGGCCATGATGAGGAGCATCTAGCTCCACTTTCCCAGTGAATCAGATCCCTTATTCCCCACTCAGGTGTTAGGTGCTGGTTGTTAGACGAGCTCAGTGCCCTTAGGGGTACCATACAAAGCTTCTTGCCTTCATTTTGCAGATGGAAAGATAAAGGATCTTGTCCAAGGTCACACAGCTTCTCAGGGACAGAGCCAAAAATCAAGTTTCTTGGCTCTTGATCCCTTTTTTTTTTTTTTTTTTTTT